GGTTCGAGTCCCGTCAGAAGCCGAAGTTCCGCCTACAAGTCACCGACCCTGTGAGTAGTGGAGCATTTGGTATAAACTACCTGAATGAAATATAATCTGCCAGAATGTTCCACCAGCAACGACGCACTTCATGCAGTATGCTATTTGGTGCGGAATGAGGATACAGAAATTGCCGTTCAGTCGCTACCGCTCCACTTATGACCGCTGTATCGTTGGAAGAGAAGAGTAGGAGTCATATTTTGAAGACCCTGATGGCTATCGAGCTTACAGGAATATCTTGGGTGACAGATGTTTTTAAAGCCTGCTGAATTGAATGTCCAATTTATCAATGCCCGCACGGATTTTTCGATGAAAAATGATAGATTTCTCTTGAGAGGTCATTCAGTTAAGCTGAACCTGATAGTAGCATCAACTGGATTAGTCTTCAGCATGACTAAGGGCCAGCTGCAGTATGGGTAGTATAAACAACTTTGTAAGAATTGAAAGAGGAAGGAAGAATTAGTCCTGAAAGGAGAGTATACGATTCTTAAGTCTGCTAGGGTTGAAAATTTGAGAAAAATGGGAGTGCCATGCTTTTTTCGGGTTACATGATATGGGTTACATAATGAGTAAGTAGCTTTAAAAGTCAAACCAACCTTTGTCGTAATAGAAGCCATTAATCCAGTGATTGTTGCAAGTACGCTCAATGGAACTTGAAGATCACCGAATATATGCATAGATGCCAGAAATACCGAGTAAATACTCGTGTTCGCACGATTTGCTTTTTTGGAATAGTCGGTAAGGTGAAGATCTTAATTTTTTCTTATTAGGTAACTCAATTAGTGCATATACTTCTGAAGGGAGTAGTAAATTGGTGTCCGAATTTCCATGACCACATGTGGTAAAACTGCAACCACCGTAATTATTCACTAAATTCGCGGCGCCATCATGTAAATCTGATCCATACATTACGCGCTCCAATCGCGCGAATTTCCTAGCGACACGCGGCGATAGCGGCGAGCGCGACATGCTGTTTGAGCATAAATTCCATTCAGGGACAATCAATAGAGCAAAGAACTGCGCAATAATCTCACATTAATCAGTCATTCTGAAACTGCTGCTAAGGTGGACATCGTTCGGTTTTTTGGGAAGAAAACAAGTGTCCTCACTTGAATAGAAGAATGTGTAACTATTGCCATCAGCCAGATCAAGCATAAATGTATTTACACTTANATTACGCGCTCCAATCGCGCGAATTTCCTAGCGACACGCGGCGATAGCGGCGAGCGCGGCATGCTGTTTGAGCATAAATTCCTTCCAGGGACAATTAATAGAGCAAAGAACTGCGCAATAATCTCACATTAATCAAGTCATTCTGAAACTGCTGCTAAGGTGGACATCGTTCGGTTTTTTTGGGAGGAAAGCAAGTGTCCTTACTTGAATAGAAGAATGTGTAACTATTGCCATCAGCCAGATCAAGCATAAATGTATTTACACTTATAGCATACATACATCCTTGAGCTGCATATAGTACTGTTGTCAAAACGGTGACTATCATGGCATCACTAAAGGGTACGGTATTGTACTGTAACATCTTGCTATCCGATTTTAACAGAAATGGTGATCATGAAGAGGAAAGAAAGAAGATAGAGAAAAAGAAGCTAAAAAAGTAATATCGAGTGATAATAATAAACAATGAATAGTGAAAATTTGCTCCATGGTTCAGGGTGAAATTCAGGGTGAAACTGATTTTCAAATTTTGTGATTGAACAATTTTTTTCCTCTGATTCATCCATGTACGGTGCTGCCCTAACGAGAAACAGTCTAAAAGTTAAGCAATGATAGTTGAAAATCTGTTAGCCTTGGGAGAAACTACNATTCGTTATCAGGGCATCGGATTACCCCTATAGGCGAAGTTTCATCGAAAATTAAAATTTTGAGTTGTTGGGGGTGTAATAGTAGAATAGTACCCAATTTTTTTCCTCTGATTCATCCATGTACGGTGCTGCCCTAACGAGAATTAGTCCAAAAATTAAGCAATGATAGTTGAAAATCTGTTAGCCTTGGGAGAAACTACGTTGAGGAATTCGATTCGCTCGTCTTTCATCTCCCACAGAGATATCGCTTGGAAATTTTTGATTGATAGCCTTGAGGCCTTGTATAGCGACCTAGTGTTTGTTCGTTGGTCGATAGAACTTTTCTTGAGCGTGTTACTGTAATTGGATAACTTTTTACTCTACCTTACTTACCTTTGGAACTTTACCTTATTACCTTCGGAATTTTTTTTGGATTAGATTTCATTGTTCTCAATCAAACTGGGCTCACTCTCTTTTTCTCTCTGGGGTGATTTTCGTGCGGTGGCAGGATCCTGCTAATTCTTATTAGTCGTCTCCACTTCTTTTTATCCTTGTCATCAACAGCCCTCTGTGACTTCTGCGAAGTCTTTCTTATTCACGTCCCGCCACCTCCTCTTTGGTGCTTTTCTTAGTCGCGTTTCTTGCGGCTCAAATCCCAGTACCTCTGTTATTGGGAGTTTCGGTTGTGTTCGCATCTCTTCACTTCAGCTGAGCTGGGCTATTGAAAAGGCCGCGCTGACGTTTTCATTCTGAGTCGGTCCAGTCGCGCTCGAAGAATAACCCACCTCAACATACGGGCTGAAGTTGCTTCTCATGATTCTTGCTCATGGGCCAGCACTCGCTTCAGTAGAGCAAGTAGGCCTTAACACTGCCTTGTACTCTTTTACCGTGAGAGTGCTAGAGCCCTAATGGTCGTAGAGAATATCGATTTCCTTCGCTGTATCCATGGTCAGGTGTCCTGGGTCCTTTCCGTAGCACGCCCAAGAGCGTCTACGATAGAATACGTGCGGAAATGAGAACTGATGATCTTGGTCTTCTTCACGTTTAACCGGAGCCGATTCTAAGCCTGAACTTTCTGTCACTCCTGCAGCTTGTGCTAGATTTCTTTTCCGTTCTCAGATGTTATTAGCGTAGAAGTTGGCCTTTAGTGCTCCATCTAGGAATCCGCTCGTCATAACATCAGGTCCGAGTAGATAAAGGAACCGACCTGGAACTGATTCATTGTGTACACCAATTAAGACGCCTATTGTTTCAGTTGGCCATTTGGAGTGTGTATTGTTGCCATGCACCCATGTACTAATTGACCAGGGCGAACAGGTCTCGGAGCGCTGTCCGAGTGCACTGTCGAGGGATACGGCCGAATCCGTGGAAGGCTATTACGTTTTCGTCCAGCTCTGAAGATTTCGAGCTGTAGATCTGGGGCATGAGGGGGGGGGGGGGGGGGGGGGGGGGGGGGGGGGNAGCGAGATCGGGGCAAAGGCTTTCTTCATCTTGTGTCGAGAAACCGCAACCGGTATTTGGGACACTCAATCGCGTCCCCCTCCTGCTTGAAGATGGGAATGATAGCACTGCTCCAAGAATCTGGGATTCTTCCCCCAGTGGTCACAATATTCAGGAACTGGATGAGCCATTTAGTTTCGCTCTGTCCGAGCGCTTTCCAGTCCTCAGTTGGCACCCCATCGGGAGCGAATGCATTCCCAACCTTCATCTTTGCTATTGCTCTACGCACCTCACCCTTTGTTAGGAGTGCGATTAGGCCTACCAACGTCTCTACTTTGAGGATCTTCTCACGAGGGAAGTTCTTATTAAGGATCTGCCGAAGTTACCTTTCCACTTAAGTCTTACATAGCTAGACTTCAGAATTACAAATTACAATTACAAACCGTTCTCAACGGACTTCACCACCCAGATGTCCTTAGCAGCCCGATGTTGCGCTTTCACCAGCCAGAATTTCTGCTAATCTCGACTGTCGAAATTCTTATACAAAACGTCCAATTCCGTATTCCTTGATGCTTTCCCTACAGCAGCATCGACAAGCCTCTCGAAAGTTCTGTGGTAGCTAAGTTTTTCCGGGGCGCTGGTTCTTCATAGTTCTCATAAGCAGATTCTCTATGCCTCGAAACTCGCTGATTTCATCGTTCCAGAACCATCCTTCCTCTTCTCTCAAGAACACCTCGAGCCTTCCATTGTTTCTCTTGCACAACATAAGATGACTTTCACGACTTTGCTACAGGTCTGAGGTAAGGTCCTTCGGGATCTGGGTGTGCAGAATTCAGTATATTCGCGCTCTTCGATCGGCGTAAGGTCCTTCGAAATGTGGGTGTGCAGAATTCAGTATCTTCGCGCTCTTCGATCTTCGATCGGCGCTTTTATGACCTTTACAGTTTTGAGGGATGATGCTCTTACGAGTACGTGGTCTACTTTCAATTCTTTCTCTCCAGTGCAGCAGACATCTTATAAGTGTCCTTTTCGCGAAAAAGTGCTGTGGACTCAAGTCGTGGGTTGTAGCCAGGTCGGGAACCTTAGCACCTTTTCGCGAAAAAGTGCTGTGGACTCAAGTCGTGGGTTGTAGCCAGGTCGGGAACCTTAGCACCTTCGTTACTGACTCTTATTCCATTTCCTCCATGAACCCTTTCAAAGATCCTTTGTTCTCTCCCGACGTGGCCATAAATATTTTTAGCACTCGGAGCAGCCAGCTTGCGGTGCCTAAACGGATATTAATGTCTAGTATTCCTCGTTCATGTCTACCTAAACGGCCCCGATCTGAGCGCTACCGCGTACTGCACTGGCCATGCCAGTTCTCTTGGTGCTTTCTCCATTATAGTAAAGATTGATGTCGATTGCTTCTTTCCAGTGTGTCTCCTGAAAGTGGAGACCTGGATGTTTCTAGCTCAGTCAGTTCAGCAACCTCTTGTAACTTCTATCCAACGGTTGGAGACAAAAGTGATTTTATGGCGCTTAAGTGATTTGAGGAGATGTGTATGAATGGAAGGGATTATAACTGGTAGATTTAACTTGTTGAAGGTATACCAAACGGTGTGAAGTGAGTACTCAGACTGTGTGCGTTCCTAGGCAACGTCCAGCATGCTGTCGATCGAGTCTGAGGTCATCAGTATTGCAACGCAAAGTCTGGGTGATCAGTCGATGATGCATATTTGGACTTACATGACGAGATCATTGAAAAAGACGTTTTGACTGCCGATAAACACCATACCACCAAAGCCAAGTTGTGGTAGAAGTATCGACTGTAAAAATTGGGCTTGGAAAACATTCACTAGCGAAAAAGTAATTGAAAAAAGCCCATACATAAACTACGGCATTAACCCAATGGCGCAGATCACCAAATGAAAGGACGAATCCTTTAGATAAGGCTTGTTCCGGGGGACTCAAATACAGAAAAGTTGCAAGAAGTGTTGAGCTCAATAAGAATACAGCGAACACATAGAGATAGACCATCTGAGTAGTATTTATAAGTAAATAACCAAGTAAAAATTATTCATGAACTAACCGAAACAACAAATCTGCGACGGTGAGAAAGTAGATAGGCGATAAAGCAGAAACATGTGGTAATATACGTCAAGGATAAGATGTCTGGCCATGTGGAGGCGATTAAGGTATCGAAGTTTTCGAATGTCGCAAGACTGGAAAGAACACGATGAATAATTACGAATAACAAAAATAGTTTGGTACAAGAGTTTGAACTGATAATCCCGTTTTAAGGATGGGTCCGTCATTCGACTCCCATTTGTACCCTGGAGGCGTTTTGATTGCGAAGATAGCCTATCCAATACTTGCGGTAGCTAGCAGATGTACGTATCAATGCTTCTACCTTCCAAGACGGGTTCGTTTGATCGGCCCCGGAAAGATGGAAGGTTTGCTTGGCCTGAGCAGATATCGATCTGAGATACCGAAAAACGCTATCACACGGATTCAATTTCAACTATGCGTGTATCAGAGTGCGTTACATCCCACTACAAGATCCCCGCTATCCATGAAAATGCATTTGCTTGTTCAGGCCAAGAAGTGAACTTGTCCTATCTGTCCTGTCGTGGACTGTTTGTAGCCTTTCAATCAATTCTTTCTCCTTGCAATATTACGTTGAATTCCATTTAAAACTAATACTGTATATACCCTTACCCATAATGTACTAGCGGCAGAGTATCCAATAAATCCATTATCTTTCCTTCGATTTTAAGATAAGATTTTTTAGTAAAACGTTGTTGTTGAGCTCCTTCCGTGGGTAGAATGCATGTATCACCCATCAATCGGAAAAACGCTATCATTGGGAAGCATTTCTTCTCCAGATTAATCATAATCTAATAATTGAGAGAATATTCCATATCCAAGTGACTTCAACAGAAAAAAATGGCTGCGAAATTGCTGCCCGTGGGGTAGTGGAGGTGAATTGTGGCTCGGTAGCAGCAAAAAGTTGCTTGAGAAAAGTTATGGATATAGTTTTAATGTGATAATGTGTTAATGTGATAATATATAATAATAATGTGACATGAAGATAGGCACCCACGTTCCAGAGGACTGCCCCAACAGACCTGGAGCAACGCTGTGGAAGTCATCCTACAGTGTACCAGACAACAGTGGGGATACTAGTGGTGGGTTTTGAAGGGACAAGAAAGTTCAGGAACGATGAAGCAGAGCGAATTGTAAGGCTGAAGAAATCTGCCTACAGCACTGACGAATGACACAAGCTCCAGAAGACCTAGCGAAAGCAAAGAAAATGGAGTGGCTTTTCGCCCGAGAAACTATATGGTCGAAAAAGGAGAGGAAATCGTCTTCTATCTGGCGAAAGCGGAGTACCGGGCTATCCAAGACATCAGAGCAGTAGGGCTGTAGAGAACAGCGACGGTGAGAACCCTGATGAAGCCTGTTGGGGTTAAGCATAGGTGGAGAATATTTCGACAGGCCCAAACGAGGAATTTCACCGTGAAGACAGTGCTCAAGTAGAGCGACGGCTGGCCCCATCTATTTCAGGACAGAGAGTGAGGTGCGTAGAGCAATGGGAAAGATGAAAGTTGGGAAGGCAACTGGTCCGGATGGAGTACCGATCGAGGCATGGAAAGCGCTCGGAGAGCACGGGATAAAGTGGCTCACCCAATTCCTGTACAATGTCACCGCTAAAGGAAGATTCCAAGGTGCGTGGAGGAGTACTATCTTTCCAATCTTCAAGCAGAAGGGGGACGCGATGGAGTGTTCCAACTACCGGGGGATGCTCAAGTAGAGCGACGGCTGGTCTCATCGTACTCGGGACAGAGGATGAGTTTCGTCGAGCAGTAGGGAAGATGAAGGTCGGGAAGGCAACTGGTCCAGATGGAGTGCCATTTGAGACATGAAAAGCGCTTGAGGAGAATCGAATCGGGTGCCCCACACGGTTTCTTAACACTGTGATTGCTGACGGACAAATCCCATACGCGCCGAGGAGCAATACTATTGTTCTCATCTCCAAGACGAAGGGAACGTGATGTGGTACCTCATCTACCGTGGAATTAGGTCGTTTGCTAAAATGATGAAAGGAGCAGTTCGGCTTCAAGCCAGAAAGGTCTATAACATATGTCATCTTTATAGTTAGACAAGTAATCGGGAAATATCGAGAAAAGCACAGATCCCGCTAAATAGCTCTCTCGCTAACCAGCTCATAACGAGAAGGCTTTCGTCCACCCCTTTCGACTAGTCCTCTGGATAGCAGCCCGAGAAAAAAGCGTCCCGGAGCGCCTGACATCACTGCTTAAGAAAATGTGTGAGAGGTCCAAAACGATCATACCCACCCCTTAACGTTGGGGTGCAACAAGCATTAGTTTTGGTCCTGTTCCTCTTTTTGCTTACAATGAATGTAATCACAAACGACGCGGCAGGATCTCTTCTGGCCATTCTCTACCCTGGTGCATCGCTCTGGTAACGGATTGCAAATGAGAACTCCAGGCACAGAAATGGCTGATTTCGCTGTTGTAGCGTAGGCTATGTGTTATTTGAATGTAAAGAAGTCCAAGCTCCTCAGCTCCCAAAAGTACATGGAGTCTTGTGGAGGTTTTGTAGAAGCCATCGAGTGTTGCCCCATAAGCAAGATTCATGGAACGCAACTTCGCCCAAACAAGAATGTTGGGATGGGCCTACGATTGAACGCGACTGAAACAGTCCAGAACAAAGACGTCAGGGCGGCCATGAAAGCCGTCCCAATGCAACTGGGGACGAGAGAGCATCGTACCGAAGGTATAGACACGTACTGAGAATACCATAGAATCAATCATACGATAAGAGAAGAAATGGGATCGAGGCCTAGTGGAAGCGATCGCGAAGAACACCGAAGAACTGGCGGCGGGACGTAATCGAGAAAAACATCGCCGAAGCTAAAGTAACGGAGCAGGTACAACACGTAGATGGTCAAAAGGTGACCGCTGGAGGATCTGAAAACTGTATCTGTTTCGAAAGCTCCCGTTTTGGAAAATTGAAGTAATAGACGATATGAGCGGTTCCGTTGCCTCGACCATACGAAGCCGCTGCCTAAATCTGTCGAAATCCCAACTCTTACATCTTATCTCTAAAAAATGATCGATCTTGACACGATTAGTGGAGACAGCTTACAAGTGGCTAACCAGATGCGAAAGGGGTGATTATCGAGAGCATCTTCATCCACACAGACTCTCCACGAAGACTTCTTTTCCTGAAGTTCACTTACCGAAATAGAAAACGTTCAGATGTATCTGTTTCTACCCATCCCTTTGGAGTTTTTATGCCAGTACAATTTCTATTGATCGAATGGCAGACTGAAAAAAAAANAAAAAAAAACAATGAGTTCGTGGATAAATAGCATTGAATCATTGAAATTTTTAGAGGATACAGAGGATAGAGAGGGTGTAATGTTTTGTAGCCGCTACATTTCCATCAAACATCACTTTCCAGAGCCCTTTTTTTCATTTTCAAAGACTTCAGTGATATCATTCAGTGCTGACATCGTGAAACTCTCTAGCTTACTTTCATTTTCAAGGATCGCTTGGCTTTGCTAGTGAATTTTTGATAGAAAAATTATGAAGACATGGGATTATTGAATTCTACTCTGAAAGTATTTTTTCCAGCTTTTCTTTGCCATCGGTTTCTGGTAGAAGATAAAGGGGAAAAGGGTGAGTTTCTGTTATTGAACGACGTTGAGGCAGAAGTTGCGCGTAATGATTGGAATTCTGGTAAAACCTGTTCTGCACAAAAACTTTTTCTTTTTTGGAGAAGGAAACTGTGAAATAATCTAGAAATGGAAAAAATTTTTACCCACATTCTCTCACACCTTCTCCAACACAATCGTCCCATGTTGGCTCCGTTCCAAATATATCCAGCGATTTCAACAGTATGTGAACCATACGACCCATTACATCATTGTCAATAAATATGCTGGTCATTAGTAATAACGAAGCCGATATGCCAACACCTTTCGAATGGAAATTTTTCAGATTCCGTTTTGTTCCAATTATTATTTTAGTGACATANACTGTTCCTTGGGTATACTGCCCCAGAGCCATTTCTAGGTAAATCATCGGGAATCCAATTAGGGTCATACAACAGACGAATGGAAATATGAAGGATACTGTAATTAAATCATGATTTTGAGTGGCAGGATTGGACTGAGATGAATCTTCGCAGAATACTAAGATGATTCTCGCGAAGCCACAACCAAGATATTACATATTTCTTTGACTAGCATTCACTGAGCCTTAGTGCCTCCGGTCTCTTGAGTGTCTCGAAGCAGAAACTGCTCAAGATTAAGTCCTTCTAGAACCTTTTTTTTGTTGTAGACTAAAGGCTATGCCGGTGCTATATCGCCACAATTAACATACCAACTAAGTAAACCCCGTTAATCTTCAGCTTCCAATGTTCGACCATGGCACAGGGCTGGGACGTAGGTATGTGGTGATAGACTCGGACAATATGCCACACTTGTCACCGGCTCCAGCCGCCCGCGGAGTTCAAAGTGTCTCTCCACTCACAGATATAGTGTTCAATGGTACATGGCAAAGTGTATGGAGAGGCCCTTGGGGATGGTTCTGCGTGGGGATAAAGTCACCTTGACGGTGTCAGTAATAGTATCAATGATTATTTATTAAATGAATCCGTGGAAATTTGACGTTGTCTCGGAGTGGTTTTAACCGGCACTTAGCGAAGTCCACTGAAAGCTATATCAGTGAAGGGACGCAGACAGGCTAAGGGTAGTTTTCAGTTTTCGCAGAGAGACAATTCGCAAATAGCGGCCCGAGTCATCCGCCTCCCTCTCACAAGTATATACTGGACACTTTTCAACCATCTCGGTTGCGACTTTCTAGGAATACTTCGAAAGGAACACCACGTACATCCGAATCGGCGAACTGCATAGTTGAACATCATAAAGTTTTGAAGATTGGCCACATAGCAGATCGTCACACAATACAAAGCCAACTTAGTGATTTTGCCTCGTCCAAAACCGTGACGAGATAGCTTTCCGATGATAAGCTACGAATAGGAATTTACATTGTGTAGTATGGCAACGGAATGAATTTTGTACGTCTACCAACCTTTTCTGCGTATTCCCTTAGTTCTTCCGGGATCAAAACTTCGATTTCTTCTGATTCCGTCTCTGATTCGTCGGAGCCTTCGGAACCTTCGTTAATAGTTGCATCATCCTTACTTTTCATTTTCAATTTTTTCCCATCTGAATTGATATTTTTGCTTCTTGTCTGTCTTGCTCCAAAATTCACGTATGGGCGGTATTTCTCTTGATGAAATGTATTTCTAAAAGCTCCCGGTCGCCGCACTTTCGTTTTTAATTTCGGTTGGATTTTGTTAGAACCTTTGCTCGCAATGCTAGAAATCTCATCAGTGGCATAGGCCACTACAACTTATCCTGATTTTTGCTTCTAAGAAATACTTCCGCCAACGAAATATGTGGTTAATAGAACCTTTGGCCTCTAAAGAAAACTCGAAATGGATGAAAAGTAGGACTCTGCAGCTCCATATGACAGAAACCCTCAATGCAACTATCACTAGAGCAGTCCCTGACAAGCTGTGATAGGTATTACTGGGGTATGCGACTGTGAAGCAGCACAGGGTTCTCGAAGCTGGTGCAGTTTTCAGTTCACCCCATCCGGCATCCGTGAGGGATTTCGATCCTGTCTGGACACTTTCCGAAGGATAGAGTTTTCGACAAGAACCGACTTCGTTTTTGGGATGCGAACCGCATTCGACTTTCAATCAAAATTACAGGAGTGTTTGAACGCATATGAGGCCAATGCAGTAAATTCCGGTGACTAGAACATGAACAGGTCATACCCTCATCGACCCGCAGCGATAAAAGGTTTGGTTAGCCTGGGCGAGTAGCGACAAGTGATATAGTTTGCTGACTATACGGAGCCTATAGTGGGTCACTTGCCGCTACACACAGCTCTACCTTATCTCATCTGGCTCATAACCATAATAATTCCGGGATTCGAACCTCGGAACATGCCAACATACATATGACAGACCCCCACCAGACGCGCTGGTTCTCTTCCACTGTAATGCAATAGGACATCGAAATAAGCAAACCTGTTTTTCTTTTGGACTTATCATCTCTTCCTTTCCCTGAAAATGTTGTACATCGTAGTTGGTTAACTATGAATTTCCTTTAACTACATGAAACACTTTAACTACATGAGAAGAGTGGAGAGCACGAATTTTTTTTTAGAAATTTTATATAAATTCGAATTTTGATTATAGTTCGGAGCAACGCCTGCTGGTAAACAACATATGAAAGTAATTGACATTATATTAAAAGAAAACCCTTATAGAGTCCCAACTAAGGTAGAGCCGTGTGAAGAAGAAAAGCATCGATGATTTTTACTGTCTATGCGCTCCGTAGAGCAAATATCCCTCATAGGGTTTCACCTTTCATTTTGTCCTGTTCCTTCCCGGCAATCTGGTCCCTAATGATAGCAACAGCTCTGTTTTGAAGGAATGTCTGTTAAAGTGAAAGGGATCTGATCTTAAAACAGCGTCCCGGGAGCGACTTTTTCCGCCACTGGCTGCTTTCATAGTCCGTCGGCGTGCGTGCCGACGTGCCGGCGTGCCAGCCGAGGCAGTGCTAGGGGAAAAGGAGGGAGGCAGATGGTCGGTAAGGCCTCTCGAAGGGCCAAAAACAAAGAAGTACAAGTCTAAAAACCAAACAACTGCAAAGGGCTTGTGCAAATGGTTTTTGATCTTGTCTCTCTTTGTTTGCAGCCCTTCGAAGGGGCTTGGACGCGATGCGACCGCCGCGAGCGACGGTCTGCCTCCTTCCTCCCCTAGCACTGC